TATTATTGTCAAAAAGCAGGTGGTTTTGATAATGGCAAATTTGTCATGCGTTTGCTTTCAGTCTGTATGAGCGAAGAGGGGACATAGCTAGGACAATAATAATAGTAATAATAAAATAATAAATAAGTGTGCCGTTGAAATTAAATGTACAGAGGGTATCAATCCGCAGTCGCTGCGTCGTCACGCGATGTCCACCTTTGCGATGAAGCCCGTATAATGGCCACGGTCAGTGCATCGTTTTAAATTTTTCTGTTGGCGCCTTGTGATGTGCAATACGTACATCGTGAAAGACACCGCGCGCCATAACCACAAGACGTTACTGTTGTTGTTGTGGCTTTCCAGTAGAACGCGAAGTAAGCGCCACATCTTTTTTTCGCTAATTGAGAAAACCACTGCATCTATTTGTTCCTCTTGACACTACCTCAGGCATTGCAAATCGAACATGTTTCGTCCTCATCATCTTCGTCGCCTCCTTCGATAGTGGCCATATCCTCAGTGAACATTGTGGTAGCAACAGCTACCGTGTAACGTCGCTGGGATGTACAAGTTTTTTCGGCCTTTGTTTATTTCTATTCTTGGAATATGATTCGTTTGTACGATGGTCTAGCCGCCAGAAATCAGAGGTTCCTGCGTTTTGTTCCTTAGCCTAGATTAGACAGTATTACTACAGTAGAGGAAGAAGAAAAAGAAGGGCCAAGTGCGCGGGGCCGGGTAAGGTCCGGACAGCGGGCAACAGCTATTCGTAGCGGCCGTTGTTGAGGTCGCCGTTACCATCTGCCAGCGGCAGCAACGGTCGTCTCTAGCACAAGGCGGTAGCTCATTTCGTCAGCGTCTGTTGCCGCTGCGCCGCCGCGGCTCTTCTTGTCGTAACTGTGGATGGATGCCGCCTGCTGGCGGTGCCAGGTTTGGCGCACTCGTACAACGGCTGCTCCATCCGGTCGGCCTCAGTCCCCTATGTCGACATTCGACATGCCACAGCTCGACATACTGCCGCTGCGGTCGTCCATACGCCTGGGTCGTCCGCTCTGGTAGGACAGCTTGTGTTGGGCTGCGGCGATTTCGGCTCACGGGCTGACTGCTTATTTGCTGCTCCGCTGCCTTCTGTTATCTGCCCAAAAAAAGGAGGTTTTTGCTGCTAAGTGAGACAAGGAGGCGATGGCAGTAATGGTTGACTTGCATGCGATGCTTATGGCAGTGGGCCAACGTAATCGTCCAGACGTAGGTCCGCCGGCACAGTCTGCCTTCTGGGAAAGCCGTTACCGTTCGATGGTTCGCCAAAATCGCGGTGCTGAAACGCTCGTCATGCTCTAGGCAATGTCTGTCAGCAATGAAAAAATTATAAATAGTAGTATGTTTGTTACCATCAGACGCTGGAAATTATCGACCTTTCGAGAATCCTTACTCAATGACATTGCCAGCAATAAAAGAGCAAATCGAATATATACGTGCAGCAAAGGTTACTGGTTTTGTGTCACGAGTGACATCCGTTTGATGATTTTTTAATCGACTAAGTTTTAGCAATTTATAGGGCTCTACATCCAATATCTGTCTTGTCATCTTCTTCAATATATTTGTACGAACTTGAAAATTGATTCGTTCGTATCACTTTGAACAGATAAAATCCCTACCTCTGTGACTAGGCAAGCCAGTGTTGTGCCCTTTATAGCAAGAATGATATGAAAAGCTTTAGAAAAACTGCAGGCCTGTCTAAGCTGGTAGACTGCGGTAACAAGAAATGAAAATAAGGTTTGAATAGCGCAGCACATTTTGGCTTCGGTCGTCCAATTTAGATACACACAAGTTAAATGATATTACATGCACAAATATCGCGAATGCATAACGTGCAGCGCATAAGCTTTAAAGTGATCTTTACTGATCTGATAATCCATAGAATACAAAGTACCATATGAACTTCGGTACAAATCTGGTCGTGTATTAAGCAGTATATATGTGTATATATATATATATATATACATTAATTAACTTTGTAATTTGACTTCTAAAACGTTCGTTTTTATTTAGAAATTTTTATTTAGATATTTAGAAAATTAAAAGAAAGAAGAGCTCATCATTGCTTGAATTTTGAAAAACTATCTTTGTCGCAACACCACCGTTATGTCCAGACAGATCCACAAAGCTTGAATAAAATAATTATATTGATTAGTAGTATCGTTACTATACTCAATCGTAATTTTCATATAATCACAATAAAAAAAAAATAATATAGTAGGGCTAAAGACCCTATTTTGACACTAGCCATTGATTAGTCGCTTACCCTAGTTAAAATTCAAAAAGTTTAGCTGCGGTGGATGATATGCAAATAACCGGTTCATATACCATAAGTATTAAATTATTTCAGCAACATTCTACTATGTAAACAAACTTGTTGTTGATTTAAAACAAATCGAATGTATAATACTTTCTTCCAAGTGATTAACACTACATTTGGTGGAGAGACCTACAGAGAGGTCATCACACAGACGGGGTTACACGAGATAGAATATTTACATGGGGACTATTAGTCAAGTTAAAGTGTCCTTTTCGGATGAAGGGTATATAGATATAATGTATGAATTTAAACAGTCAGCAACTCTAAGTTTTACTACGCATTGATTTTCTTAGGCTATACTAGTGGCTAGACATACCTATAGCAGTATTTCTGCATGCACCTCTTTGTGAGTTCTTGTCGAGAGATTTAATGGGTTTAACCCAATACAGAAGCCAAAATTTTCACTACGTAAGCTTTCCGTAGGTCGGAAACAACAGCCTCTCATCGAGACACAGTTGCTCATAGCTTTCTCGACAACGCAGAGAATTAGGTTAAACTTTAACTTTGCAGTTTATTCATTTTCGTTATCATCTTTCTCAGGGTGCGAGATCAGGGGCGAAATGAACATCGTACATGTCAAATTCTATTGAATAATTACAGTCTGGAAATCCCAAACGGAACTTATATATGCTGAATTACATTGCCTTACCAGTACTGCTTTAGTGTCAGCAGTAAGAAAGCATACATTGCACACAATTATGAATTCTCAAGTAGCAGCGCAGTGATCTTGCGAGTACGTCTACCGTACCTACAGTGGAACGTTTATTAAGCAGTTTTATTACAAATAATTGATCTAGATTTTTCAAGATAATTAGACTACAGATGGAGCATAAAACGGACGGCAAGGCCCATAATTGTTTCACTGCATCTCGATAATGGGTTGATTGATGATGGAAAGCAACTTCAAGTCAAACACGTGGCTGTATTATTTCTTTGTCGATTACTTGTTTCTGCACGCGCGTATTAGCAGCACTAAATGTCCATCTTCAAGAGGCCGCTAATACAGTTCGTAATAATCTAAACACGTAGTTACTATATTAATTTATTTATTTATTATTAAACGCAGTATGATGATTTACACGAAAGGAAAATCTCCAACACATGAATGAAGCCAGGGCCGAACAACTAACATCTTAATAAATGTGAAAGGCAACACAATACACGGTATCAACTACCTGCGAACTTAACGGTGTTTTAGGCGTGTTAAACGCTTTTTTGACTAAAGCATTATCTATCAGTGTGCGTACATATATTCTAGTTCTTAGGTTAAATTGTATGATTTACAAGGCTCAAACACCATGCGGCCTTACGCTGTCCAGCAAACGATGGTTAGTAATTACAACAGCGGTAGCAGTAACAACAATAACAAGGCCTGCAGCGCTCTGTTCGATTACAATAATTCAAGAGTACTTTGCACATAATAATAAGAATCAATTTTAATTCAATTTGATGGTGCAGCTGAATTCTTAGATTCTCCTTTAAATTTTGTCATAGCTGGTCAAAACTGATTTAATCGTGATGTCATAACTGTGATTCATTGAATACTGTTGAACAAATATCAAAAATGATTCCTTGATCATTACCTAGAGATATTGTTAAGGACGTTATCTTTTCTTCCAATAATAGCACATATCTATTTAGTATATACCAAATAGAATCAAACACTCGCAATGTGCTTCGTATTAATTCGATTTTAAAGGTGGAAAGTTGAAAAAAATAGTAAAAAAATATAATATTTGCCTTAATTGTTCTAAATAGAATTGTCAATAGTTGTTTTGTAGTGTATTTCCAAAGTTTTCTTTATGAAACATACCCTAAATATGAAAATTTCAGTATTCGAATAACTTCCCAATTGCATCTGCAGTTGTAGCTTTTTAGACAATTCGTCTCAATAGGTCCAGCAACAGTTCAAAAATCCCGCCTTTAGACAAACGTATGGAACTGTTCCTTTTCGATAGATCGTTCGATTCTGTGCAAAAAATTTGCACTGTTGCCAAAATAAATAAATATTCGACAAAACTATAAGCAAATAATCACCTGCCTTCTGTGCGTTTTTAACGTAAGTAACTGCGAATTAATAAATGGACCTACGATAATCCAGAGTACATTTTCTCATCTATATTAGCATTTGTCTTTATTTTATATTAATAAGGTGTTCCAATTTACACATAAATGGTGCATATATAGTGCTGTCCATTTTTTTGTTGTTGCAAGGGGTACGGCAGAATCACTTAAGCTCTTATCAACTGAATATCGGAAAATATCGAATCTCGGGCTGATACTGCCCCGAGAAACATATAGCTAATATATAAAAAAAAATCAAGTTGTGATGCCAATAATATTTATGAAATTGGTATTGTATAGCATGTTTAACAAATATAGTATATGATATTTACTAATATCCCTTAAATATACATCCAGTTATTAATTGAATATCGCTTTTAGATATATGTTCCATTTCCGGTGTACTTGCAGCTCGGTATTAAATTCAAAATCTGTCAGTCGGCCCTTAAGAACATGCCCTGATCATCATGCTTCTGAAAGTAGGTTCACCTTATGAGCTATCAGCTGCTTTACTCAGCGAGCTTCAAGCGTATGATATTTCAACGGTTGACGGCCTATTTGCAGCTGATGCACCTACGCTAATTGAGCATATTCCTCAATTTCGTAGGGATGCTTCCTTACTGAATCGACTACTTAATAAACTTTACACTAAAGTGGTACTACCGTCACGAACGCTCGCTGAGACCTACACGCGCCTTCTCTCGAGCCATTCCGTTTTCTCTACGGGTGACTCCGTGCTGGACACGATACTTTCTGGAGGACTTTTCACTGGCGACCACGTCGAAGTTTGTGGACCACAAGGAATTCGGACCTTGTTTTGTCACCGCGTCGCAGCCCATCTACTGAAAAATGATTCCCATGCATCTGTATTGTATGTCGATAGCGCGTGTAACTTTCGCCCCGAACTTTTTGTTGAGCATTTTGGATGCTCATCGGACCTACTCAAGCGCGTGCAGGTGGTAACACTGGCCCTGCTTTGTGCCTTATTATGTTCAGTGATCAATTGCTATTTATGAAACAGCTTAGGACCATAATTGTTGTGTCTTTCTGGGATTTTAGAAGCTTAATATAAATATTGCAACGGTGATAGCCTCTTCTTGGTCCTAATTTAACCTTATATCCTAGAGATTTCAGTAACGTGAAGTATAACTATGTAACAAGGTAATGCGACGCTCAAATTTATTTAAGTCCAATAGTTTAAAAAACACAATGTCTAGCTTAAAGGCAATTAAGCACAGACCTCTTAGGTTTACCAAAGCGTTCTGTAAGCTATTTATTTGTTCACAGGTTTTACATACACACCAGTTGTCTCAGCTTCTGCGTTTCCTCGATCACCTCCAACAGGGTAAGCTCAGATCACAAAAGGAAACGGATTCCGGCGCGTCCACATCGGCGAGTTCATTATGGCCTCGACTTATAATCATCGATTCGATGTCTGAGCTTGTGAACCCCCTTTTGCTGTGCAACGAAGATCTCGTCTGTGTTTTGGGCCTTCTTAACCACGTCGGCATAACCCTTCGCAGCGTAGCTACTCACCAGAGATTGGTAGTACTTACTACGAACGATTTTGCTAATGGGGAGCCAGCTCTTGGCAAAATGTGGACTGGAAGTCCCCATGTGCGTCTGTTAATCAACGAAAACTCGACTTCTTTAATAAATGCACAAACCGTGACAGTATTGAAAAGTGTCAGGGAAATAAAGTTTTAGATGAAGTGATCATCTCGCTGCAAATCAGAGAGTCATGTATATATTTCGTATACATATAATTTCTAGTTAAAAAGGAAAAATCGCTTTCACTGTTGACGCAGCATATATTTTTACCAAATTTATATCACGTACGGCACAATTGCCAGTAATATACATCAGGATAATTAAGCAAGTTACTTAGGTGACTCGCGTTGTTTAAGTATCCATAATATCTTGTTTAGGGAGCTCAAGCCTAACATTCACAATTGCAATATATTAGGTAAGAATACATCATAATTTCACATGGAGTAAATTGGCCTCTATCTACGCGAAATAAAGCTTACACAACGAGAGGTTCGTATTCTTAAAAAAAATTGGGTACTTTCTTCAACATAAATATTTTTCATAAACCTTACCCTACCTATTTCCATACCAATATAATAATTTTGTTAAATTCCATTTGTAGTCAATTTTTGTTACGCCACTGTAAGATTTAACATATAAGTAAACATACTTCTTAGCGTTTCTTTTTTTAGGTGCATGAAGTATCGATTAGGATCTAGAATATTATTTGGCAAAGCTGATTTTGTTTTGCCATCTAGTGCGGCATCTTACTTACAATTAAAGCTCGCCGGTCAGTTGCATAAAGAGCACGTAAAGATAATTGCACTTGTGTGTACACTCCTTGAGCCCTCTACGGCCACCAGTTAGTTTAAACGTTACATTTGCTTGAAAAACTGTGTTCGAGTGCGAGAAATGGCTAATGCGCATATCTCTGTACGTTGCTATAATAATCGAGAACCTGCCGCCATCTCTAATTCAAATTTCAGCCAAACGGTCACCATAGCATACGCTTATTATGCCGTTGTATAGGTTTCTGTTCGGGAAATTTCAAATAAAGTCACAAAGACTCACCTCAGCCAGACCTTCTATTTTTTTTTTTACAAGTTTTTCATATTATGGCAAAGGAGTAACTTGGAGGATCTGCCCACTCAATAAAAATAGCCGACGACGTTCAAAAAAGGAACAATAATATCAATGAAAAGAGGCAACTACGCAGCTCGATATGTCGGCGCACGCATAGGCAGAAAGAACTGAACGTGAGGGCATTGGTTAGCTTTAACAACACTAGCAATAATGCTTCTAAATAAGAATGCATTTACTGCAAAATGGTCGGTATATACAATGTGATTGTTATGATTTTTTATCATTATATACTTATATATATATACACGTTTATATTTTTACAAATAACACAACACATGGATTTACGAAAATACAAGAAAGGAGCGAAGCACAACTTTCCAAAAATATATATATATATATATGGTGATAAGGTACTGGACATTCCGCCCACACCTAGGAAACTGTGTCCCACGTAATCCTCTCCTCGTAGAAACGAATGACGGCCTACAAAGCAAAAAAACGCGATTCACACGACCCTGTTAATGGCTGACTATTATTATTATTGGTAAGCTGTTTCGCACAACTTAGCTATAGTGTGTGTGTGTGTATTAATTGAAAATTGGAATTTTTACTATTCTTTAGCAGCGTAAAAAGTGCCATGCTTTACGGTTTGCTTTAAAAAGAAAGCTGTTTGATGCGAATTCTTTGTACCATCGTTATACTTAGCCGTTGCTGTTGCTTTCGCCCTATCATTCTCAAATAACTGCATCAATTAAAAATGCATATAAGCTAACATTAACTGATGGCCTGTGTAGGTATAGTTTTCTTACCTGGGGACACTTAGCATTGGCCACCCGAGCGGGTACCAGGTCAGCCTCATCACAGCCCTGCCACTTAATGACGAATCTAATTTCTCTTGAGCCCGCCTGCGATGTCATCCCAATAATACGCTCCACTTCTAAACCTACGGTAAAACAAGTTAAGATAAGAAAATCAAGGATATAGAAAGATGCATTGAAATTTTGATTATTGGGGCATAGTTAATTATGCCGAATAGTCGACGAATCGTCAAGTGAACTAGTGTTTACTAATAAAGATATCCCCATAAAGACTAATATGATTAGATTACATCAACATTGGCAAGATTAGGTAATGTTTAAATTTCTTTTTTTTTCATTTTTTTTTTATTCATAATACAAACGAAAGTCAAATGAAAGCTAACCTCGATCGAATCCTGTGGAGGTTTTTCCAGTTGTTCCGCGTTGTTTCATGGCGGTCTGTTGCTCACCCCCAGCAGTTCCGAGGGCAGCCACTCGGCGTTTCCCACCGGCTGAAGTTGAACCACAAAACAACCCACCACTATGACTTCCCCCCGCCTCCTGAAAGCAATGGCAATCATTAATCTTTCATTTTTTTTCTGATTTTGCATATCTATTATTAAAATGTTGTGCACCACCAGGCTGCAGTATATTGCAGCTGAGCTAAAGTTATTAACTATAGATCATTCACTATACATTAACTTACTCTATGGGAATTTCTTGTGGAGCTGTAATCTCATCACGGCCCGGTAATAAAAACATTCAGAGAATTATAATTAGGTTCTTTTTCGTCCTTTTTTTATGACAGCAAAACCTCGCGATGAGTTTATAGACAAAAACCTGGGAACACAAAATAGATATATGATACGCGGAAAATCCAGCTTAGGAAATTGGAGACGTTATTAACAAGACTGCACAATATCTCACAAATCGCAAGGACAATCGTTTGGTGAAAGGTTTTGATTTGATGTGTTGGTGATTTTTATATCATCGAACTTAATTTTCGCTACTTTAGATTGTTTTTTTTTTGCATTTATTAGGACATAATCAATTCAGTAAGACGGTTCCAGTCAGAGCCAATAGTTCTATTTAATGTTAGTTACTTTTACAGAATATAAAGCTGAAACAGAGACGAAAATAAAACAACTGGTTTAGTCAAACAACGCACAAAATTGACTTTGTCGGAACACCTAGTGGAACCGATTGCGTAAGATGGTCTCTCTCAAATATAGCCAAGTTCTGTTGATAATTTTGCGGAACTGTTATAAATACATAAACCAGTTGGTAGATATATATCCTAGAAACATGATAATACAATGTGGTATTTTATATAAAGTTCTAGAGTATGTTTGGTATTGAAAGGCGACGATAAACAACATCACCCTAATCTCATATCTAATCTTCATGTTTCCTGTTTTGTAGGATTTTAAAAAGCGTTACTTCACGAAGTTAAGCAGCTTATCTCTCGCCTAAACTTATTTTCTGACAAAGAGTACTGTTTTGAGGAAGGCGTTAAACTTCATCATTGTTAGGTGAAGTTTCTGACAAAATGGAGTAGGCGATAGATGGTGAAGATAACTTGTTATTCTATTTGATTTACTTGAAGCGGCGGTTAGAGGAATATCTTGAATTTCATTAACAAAACTAATTCTATTTTTGCCGATGGTTAAGTGCTCACTACAACGGACAATAAACTTAGCAAAGTAAGTTTCCATTTCCATTTACAGCCTTTTAAGATTACCTTTTTTAGTTTTTCAAGCCGATTCGGTTATTATCATCAGCTTGCTGCGTAGTTACCTTTGGCCAATTCAAATCTTATATTTTATAAATAGCATTCAACTCTATGCCATAAAAGTATTAGTTGTGCTAACAGGTTGCCAAATGCCAAAATTTTTTCGTAATAACATTTATTGTAATGTGATTGTAACAAAAGAACGTAAATATAGTTTCTGACTTATCGTAATGATAAATTTGCTCAACAACATATCCATAGATTGTTAACTGTCGGTATACATAATTCGTAATGATTGATGATGACCAGCAGCTGATGGGACTTATTCGTACCTTATCGGAAAGGAGGCCTTTCGATTTCCTTTTCAGCTTTTCTTCAAAATCCCTGAAACCAAGAACAAGTGATCTGTTTCTGTTGCATTATTTTTAAACATGAGAAAATAGTTCGCGAATAGCAGTTTGTAACAAAACTAAATTTTTCTTTAAGATCATTTAAGATTATATTATATATACTAATATTTTAGGCTATCGACAGCTTATTACTATAACAATGATACCTACTCCATGTATAATTTGAATAATATATAATCACGGTATTAATATATATATATATATATATATTTGATCATCGGTTTTCTCGGCCATAGGACAAGCACGACATACTTATCAAATGGCAACATTGAAAGGCACTCTTATTTAACTATCACTGGTGAAAACGACAAAGAGATTACCAGCAATAATGTGCTGTTTCTGTAATTGGTTGTATCCGCAACGGCGATGCTATTTATTTAGAGAGACATTTAGTGTTAAGCTATGCAAATACTGACCGGATGAGATCTCGACAGTCTTCAAGGTTGTCTGCTGGCTCCCAGGTGTTGTCACTGTCCGGGTAGCCTTTCCACTTGAGCAGATAATAGACCTTCATGATACAAACCGCCAAATACACAAAAACATGGAAAATGAAAGCACAAAAAACAAAACGGAACCATTGTAGCAAGAATTATTTTTTACAAGCGTTTGTACACGTTACCTTCGTATATATATATGTATATATTAAACTCTTTGTTGTTAAGCTTTAAGCGTATTTCAAGCAGAATATTAGATATGTGTAGGATTTAAGCCAGTGCCTGGACCCTTATTAGTATTTCGTGCTACCGTTTGTCCAATCAGGCGCGAACTTGAATCAACTAGCCTTATGCGGTCATCAAACTATTTAACATTCGTGATGTATTGTTATATAAAAAAGAGAGATTCACACTGAAGTTCTGCCTCCATTTACAGCAGTTCAATATTACTGCATCCGTACAGATAATGATAATAATTATTAACCATAAATAAGAGTACAGCCCAAACGGAGCTAACGAATTACTTCGAAAATTTTACAGAAGGTTTTCATGAAATCGTCTTCTCTAAATATTGCTCTTGTTTGTTAAAACGTTTTAATTATCTTTGAGATGGACTGTGGATTTGAATTATCAAAGAGCTCGCCGAACTAGTGCCCAGTATGTGTAACATAAAAGTAACCCAGGATCCTTATGTTTAGATGAGGATTTCTAGATCTGGCAGCGTTGGAAATAATCTTGTTGATTCTAGAGACACTCTGCTTGAACGATTTCATTCTCTCTCTATATATTCAAGATAGCGTTTCAAGAAGGCCACTAACGACAATTGTAACTAGAAATGGAGGAGTCAAATTAATGAAAGACCTTATTGCATTTAATTTTCTTCTCAAGAATATTTTCAACGATGAACTCTGGCTCCTCATCGTCCCTGTCGTGCCGCCGAGAGCTCATTTTCTGAAAATAAAATCCATCACAAATAAATCTGAGCTGCTGACCTGATGCTAACCTGCCCTCTATGATCGTAAGGGACATCGGGTGGAAGGACTTTAATCGTATCGGAGACACTGGGAAAATAAAAAAGTATAATTTTATACTTTTTAATCATCAACTTACGTTTTTTTATGCACAAGTGTCCGTCGGGGCACATAACCGATCAAATAAGAATAATGACTATTTGATTTGTTGAAATACAGTTTCACAATAGTTAAATATTTCCAGACGACTAACCGCACTACAATCAGAATATTAAGGGAACTTACGCTATTGTGTACTTGTATTCGATTATTGAGTTACTATAATGGATTGCAATTGTTGATAATCAGATTGGTGACTTGAGCTTCACCCCAAGTAACGACATCCATAGACATGGCTGTATACAAACAATGTAAGAAGCGGTTCTTTGAAAACGTGATGAACGCATTGGCAGCCAAGTGTATACGATGGGCGACTAGTCCATAAGCTGGGTGGACCTTAAAAAGCTAAAAATAAACGGTCCATATATGCGATCAAATCCAAAAATAACACTACTATATATAGAAAGCCAGTGTCCTATTTTCAATTCCCATTGCTCCAAAAGGCTTCGTAAACGATACTATTGCAAACTTCTACGCTAATGCACAGAGTATCATAAACAATAACAAGAGTGGATCGGTTTTATCTTGTTTGGATTTATCCACCTATGCATCCAATCTAAATTTAGATTTATGGGTAGGATGCTGTTTCTACGACTCAATTTTGCCATGTGCCAAGCTAGTACATTACTGACGAGTCCTCTGTGTGCAACAATTTCAAAACAAGGACGACAACTTACCTCTAAAATATTAATATCTAACAATAGAAATTGACAAAAAAAATTCCACATACTAGTTAATAGTCGATTTTTTATAGAAAAATTCGTACACGAACATTTTAGCCTTCTGTTAGTGACTTGACCGTCACGAAAGATATTATATGAGAAGTTCATGCGTCAAATGGCAGTTTTTACCGAAATGTTTCTTTTTCCATTTACCTCTCCACATCTTGCTTACCTCTCTATACAGTTTAAAATCTTGCATTCTCTCTGTCGTAGATATTGTCGTAGAATTGCAATTTCATGGTGCAATGAACGATATTTTACCGGACCCAAATACAGATGTTTCTGGTGAAAAAACTTTTGCCGATGCCAAAAAGCAGCCCAAGAGATCTGCTGAAAGGTAGTTTATAAAGGGCAATGAGGGCATCTGAGGATGCAACCCGTCCTGGTTTGCGTTTCGAGGTTCACTAAAGCTGTCTAAAGGCACGACGTTATTGTCGTCAACGGGAAATGATTGTTGATAGTTAAAGCACAGAAAGGATAACCTCAGACAACTCCTCATATCTCATGCACAGGGCGATATAAAGAACGTGTTTTTTTTAAAATAACGGCATTGCTTTCTGGAATAAAGCAAATCTCTTAAAGTGACTTAACAGACAGCCATTCTCAGTGCAAAAGAAAAATATTATATTTGTTGAGAAAAGTTTACACTTAAACTGCATCTCTAGAGTTTCGGCTGCCTTTCTTTCATAGTGGGAACACTAAGTTCTGTAGGATTTATATAAAAAATTAGGAAAGAAGAAAAACGACAATAATTTTTATAAATCCAAATAAGACACTAAATTTTGAATTAGATATAGATTTGCACAGTTGCGGACCACTGCCACGGGTGGCAAATTTATCGACTCTGGCCTATGAAAGGAAGTACATAGCACTTATTCCAACTGCTGTGATGCATTAGCACGGAATAATCTTGCTTTCATATGACCAACATCGATGATTTGATGCTAAATATGATTAGATAATCAATGATTTAAAAAATACATATAAACAATAGAAAATATAATATCACTTGCGTAACGGTCATAGCTGATATACGATTGCAAAGCTTCATTTGCAGTAAAATCCTAATTTTTAACTAATACATTAGCTTGATCGTAATATACGTGCAATAAACGGCACAAATAACTCAACAAATCATAACTTCCTAATATTTCCTTTTACAGAAGCAGAAACAGAAAGACAAAAGTCTTCACAATAAAGATAACAATATCGTTAAACGCAGCTTCGCCAAATTAAATACTTATCGTATCATCTCTAAATAAAGCTGCAAACGAGATGAAATCGAGGATCAGAAGCTTTGTTGGAGACGTTAGGGACAGAACGTGAGTTGAAACGTTTCGTTCTATAGCTGCAAAGGTGTTGCGCTACAATGCTAGTAAGGCTGGATTGTCAAATAGTCTCATGATCGTAGCTACTCAATACCGATAGGGAATTGCGATTTTGTATTGCAAAATTTGAAATTTTAAGATATATTGGTATGGATGAAAAACAGTGTTCTCCCAAGTTAATGGTATACATTATCGGCAGGCACAGCGATCATATCTAGACGCCGGATGAAGTCCGGAAATCTGAAATTGTTGGATTTGCTAGAGGGCTGACGCGTCACTTCTATGCAGAATATCAATATAAGTTGTGATCACTTGGCGCTTTGAATTTTGGCGATACTCTATTATATAATGTGATAGTTTTCATGGAAGTCTTGATGGTGGATCATTTTATCAGGAAAGATCTAAGTATATATAATAGCAGAAAATGCACATAATTTAGTGTTCATGGCTACGCATACTGACATAATGCAATAGTGTGACACGTTGCGTTGGAGACAATGATCACGCAATGTACGGATGACGTGGGTTGATGTTGCAAATAAATTGATGATCCGAGAAAGATTTTCGCAATACTAAAGTTGTAAGACTTGAGCAGAACTATAGACCTATATTTTACATTTTGAATTCCGCTATTCAGCTCGTCTCAAATAACAAATCAAGCCAAAAGCGTGGCAAAAAAAAACGGAAAAATGTGAAAATTATATAATTTCTTTAATGATCAATATCAAACAAGCAGACGATATAAATGTATCGCATAGATTAGATAAATAGTTGCTCTCAAAGACTGCAATACTTGCGAGGTAGCAAACAGGAAACTTCGAGGAAAGTTTAAACTTTTTTATAATACCATATTGTAAAGTCGGAAGTACCAAATTTTATGAACGCACAGAAACTAAAGATACCAGTGCTTGCATAGGGTTGCTTGTTAATTTAGACAACAGTTTGGCACTAGAATGAGCAACCAATATTCCATAACAGGTAATTGGCCATGCAGCAGTACAGTAAATAAATGAGACATAAAATCCCATAGTATGTCTTCATTTGCACCGGCATTCAGAATACTAGAAAATCAAACTATGAAAGCAAAACCAGCTACCGCAATTTTAGTCCGCTGGGGAAATTTATTGTGAGGTACGAGTTACACAGAGGTTATATCCTGCTCAACGGAACAGGGAATATGGAAGAAGCGCAAGTTGGCAACATCAAACATTTAGTTAGTAGCATTAAAGAGCTTCCAGATTTGTTAACGTATTGAGAGCATGTAAGTTTCCTTGAAGATGTTTATTTATCGATTTATAGTAATCATAAAGTGAATGTAGTAACACGCCGTAAAAGGACTAGATTGTTTAATGTTTTTTCCTAGATGGGGAGGAGTGTTGTTGCTTAGTGGAAAAACAGTCTCAGAATTTGGAAATACCGGTATAAGAGAAAGAAGATTTCAATTGCAGTCCCAATTAAAGTTAAAGTAAGACAATCTAGTCTTCTACCTAAACTAGATTTCTAAATGGACTGCCTGCCAAGATTTGTCATGGCTGCTGTATAAAAGAAGTAAGATATCAACAGTGCTCAATGAATAAAATAGCCGATAGATAATCAATCTAGTATGAATGATCAGCTACTAGAACAATCTTAAAATAAATATGATAGCTTAGTTCAAGACCTAGTCGATCAAGCATGCATCAAAGAAGATTGCTCCGAAAGAAGATTGCTGGAAATAAGAGAGTTAGTCAAAAGGCAAAAGGTCCCTAAATATATCGCAATCATGCTGGACGGAAGAGGTTCTGGGCTCTATGAAATAGACTAAGAAAGGAGAAAGAAGTAGGAAGAAGAACAGAAGCAGTAGAAAGAATGTTAGAAATCTTTGTAGCCAATGGAGTCAAATGTTCAACACTAACTGGAGAAGACCAAATAGCGAGATGTACCATTTAATAGCTACATGAGTATCTGCTCACACAGAAGATATAATATACATAAAAATAAGATCCATAGAATATACGTAGAATTGACGAGAATCAACGCTAATTGGTGGATCTTCCCACGCACTTGATAAATTTTGCCTAGTAATTGCTATCAACTATGGCACAAGACGTCAAATAAGGAATGTTGTGCTTGAAATATGCGAATACAAGCAAGGTTTTTAATAACTTTATTAACAGCGATATTTTAGTGCCTAATTTGCCTATAAGAACAGGCGTTGAAAGAGGGAAGTAACCTTCTGTTATGGCAAATTGCTTATACTGAGTCCTATTTTAGCGATAAACTGTGGCCTACTTTTCTGATTCGATTTATACAATTGAAGATTTTAGTTCTCGTGATAGCAGATCCTGCCAATAGAAAACATGCCAATAACTTTAGCAACAATTAAAAAAAAACCTAAAGTCTACTTAAATTGGCATAAGAGCTAATTTTTATATCAGAGCTTTTCCGGAACTGTAATTTATGTTTATAGTAAGTCTAACTCGAGAAGAAATAGGTTTTGCAACTACGATTAAGCCAAGTTTTTTACAGAACAACAACCCAGAAGGTTAACTGGGCTTCAAAAATCAATCCTTGACAGGACGGTCAGAGCATGATCAGAGCCAACTAATTAGAGGAAAGCTAAAGAAGTTAGGAAGACCAAGCTTAATATGGAAAAATCAACGACTGATGACTTGGGAATAGGTACAGACAATTACACTTATTTTGATTTGAATCAGAGCTGTGGGATAAGCGCGACATGTCTGACAGGTAGAAGACACGCTCATCAGGCATCCTGACCTTACATTGCCTGGATGTAAAGCTTTGTGAAAGAGCGATGTAGGACGCAATATTAGACCCATAGATGTAACTGAAATTCCTGTAGAATGCCTAACAGGAACAAAGATATTAATACATAGGTAGGAAGAGAAAACTCACCCCAACGGCCGAGTTTACTGTAAACAAGAATACTGCAGCATTTTTAATGTTTATGATTTTAGCTTATTTAAACAATTCGCAACCCACATTACTCCTAAGATCAAAGCCATTACAGATACAGGATATCAAAGCTTGCAAAAGCTGCATAGCAACTTTGAATTACCTTAAAAAGAAGAAGGATAAAAGTCCTCCAATAAAGGATGATAAGAAAGGGGAAACCAAGAACAAGTGAAAGGGGTGTAAGTGCAAATGTTGTTG